GATGATATAACCCAGAAACCAACCCAGCTACGGAAGTATCCAAAGTAAATAAGCCTACAAGATTGTAAACAGGGAACCAGAGACACCAACCAACAAATGAGGACAATGACAAACCAAAAAGAGGGAAAAAAAATCTGTGTCGTTACAGAACCTCTAGATGGTAGGGAAGTCAAGACAACTACAAGATAGAACGGACTGTTCTACACTTGGGAAGAAAACTATAAATCACAGGGTAACCTCAAAGAAAAATGATAACCCTTCACATCAAAATAAAAAAGAGGACCAGCAAAAATATTCAGCAAATACTAAAACAATAGCAAGTAAGGAAGTGATAACATGATTTATAAACAAAACGACCACATAGAAAATTATATAGAAAAAAGAAATCAACACAATGAAAAAGCACATGACAAAAATGACAGCAACAAATTCATATTTGCTGATAATTACATATTTGGCAAGGGACTTATCCCTAAGATTGATGGAAAACTCCCATGCCTCAATACCAAAGGATTAACAATCCAATTGAAAAATGGGCAGAAGACATGAATAGACACTTCACCAAGGATATTCAGGTGGTCAGCTAATACATGAAAAGATGCTCACAATCATTGGCCATCAGAGTGATGTAAATCTAAACAACAATGAGATATACTGTCTTACCCCAGCACTATGGCAAGGTTCAATGAGAGAGAAAATAACAAATGCTGCTGGGGATGTGGAGAGATTGGGACTCTCATGCACTGCTTGTGTGACTGTGAAGTGACAGAACCACTGTGGAAAGCAATATGGCGATTCCTTAGAAAGTGGGAATTGGAGATACCATTTGACCCAGCAATCCCATTACTAGGTATATATCCTAAAGAGGTGAGAGCTAGGACAGGAACAGATATATGCACACTCATGTTCATTGCAGCACTATTTACAATAGCAAAAAGATGGACACAACCTACGTGCCCATCAGCGGAAGAGTGGATGACCAAACTATGGTACATACACATACTGGAATGCTATGCAGCACTAAAGAATAATGTAGAGTCTGCAAAACATTGCATAATATGGATGAACTTGGGGGACATTATGCTGAAAGAAATAAGTCAATCACAGAAGGACAAATACAGTATCAGTTC